GGGGCCACGTTTCGTGTGAGGGGTGTGCAGAAATCGGTGCGGTGGGCGCATACGAACGCTGGCATGTGGGCCTTCGGTGGGGCTCCCTATTGGGCCACGAAGCTTGGGTGCGGTGGGCGCATGCGAGCGCTTGAATGTTCGCCTTCGGCGGAGCTCTCTGTAGGGCCACGAAGCGTGTCCGGGGTGTGCCAACGTGGGTGCGGTGGGCGCACTCGGGCGATGGCATGTGGGCCTTCGGGGGCTCCCTATGGGGCCACGAAGTGTGTGAGGGGTGTGCCAAAGTGAGTGTGGTGGGCGCATGCGAGCGCTGGCATCTGGGCCTTCGGCGGGGCTCCCTGTGGGCACGACACGTGTGAACAATGTGCCAAACATGGGCGCGGTGGTCGCATACGGGCGCTGGCATTTCGGCCTTCGGTGGGGCTCCCTGTGATGCCACGAGATGTGTGGGGAGTGTGCCGCAATGTACGTGCGGATGGCAGAGGCAAGGACGGGAGGAGGGAGGAAGGGGAGGAGAGGTGGGAGACGCGGGTCGCTGTCCCTGCAAATCGAGGACACACCACCACAAAATGGTTGGGACAAAAACAAATAACCTTGCGACAGACCCAACCACATGCAACTGCGGGCACCATCGATGTATGCACCGCATTCGGTGGAAATCCGTATGGGGCCACGAACCGTGTGGGCGTGGTGGGCGCAGGCGAGCGCTGGAATTTGGGCCTTCGGTGGAGCTCCCAAATGGGGCCACGAAGCGGTGAGGGGTGTACCAAAATGGGTGCGGTGGGTGGATGCGAGCGCTGGCATTGGGGCCTTCGGTGGAGCCCCCTATGGTGCCACGACGCGTGTGAAGGGGTGTACCACAATGGGCGCGGTGGGCGCAAGCGAGCGCTTGCATTGGGGCCTTCGGTGGAGCTCCCTACAAGGCTACGAAACGTCTAAAGGGTTTGCCAAAAACGTGAGGGGCGTACCAACGTGAGCGCGGTGGGCGCATGCGAGCGCTGGCAGTTGGGCCTTCGGTGGGGCACTCATATGAGGCCACGAAACGTGCGCGGGATGTGTCAACATGGGTGCGGTGGGCGCATGTGGGCGCTGGCAACTGGGCCTTCGGTGGAGCTCACTGTGGCGTCACGAAACGTGCGAAGAGTGTGCCAGAATGGGTTCGGTGGGCGCATGCGTGCACTGGCATTTGGGCAATCGGTGAGGCTTCCTAGTGGTCACGAAACGTGTGAGGGGGCGTGTCAAAATGGGTGCGATGGGCGCATGCGAGCGCTGGAATGTTCGCCTTCGGCTGAGATCTTTATGGGGCCACGGAACGTGTGAGGGGTGTGCCACAGTGAGGGGGGTGGCGAGAGGACAGAGGAGGGGGAGGAAGGATGAGGGGGAGGAAGGAGAGAAGGGACGCGGGGGCTGTCCCTTCGAAGCGAGGGCCCACCACCACAAGATGGTTGTGAATGAATCTGCGTTCCGAGCTTCCAAGGCGGCCCGTGCAAGCAACCAAGGACACTAAGATGGCCCACGATGCGTCGAAGACGGCCCAATGCGGCCTCGGAATCGCCCCCACACGGCCCCATGGGACCCGTGGGCGGCCCACGGCGGCGCCACGACGGCCCCCAGACATCCACCATACTGCCAAGAGGGTCCCAAGACAACCCCACGCCCGCGTAAGAGGGCCACACGACGGCACAACAAAAAAACCCGACTGCCTCACAAGAGGCCGAGACATCCCCGAGCCGGCCCAAACGATATTCATCATCATCATCATCATCATCAGCAGCAGCAGCAGCAGCATCAACAGCATCACCATCAGCATCATCATCAGCATCAGCAGCAGCATCATCATCAGCATCAGCATGAGCACAATCATCATCACCATCATAATCATCATCAACAACAAGGTCACCATCACCAACACCATCAGCGTCACCACCGCCAGAACCATCATCATCATCACCACCAGCACCAGCACAGGCACCAGCACCACCATCACCATCATCATCATCATCATCATCATCATCATCATCATCATCATCATCAGCATCATTATCATCATCATACTCATCCTCCTCATCGTCATCGAATCATCGTCATCACAGCATCATCATCCGAAACATCATCATCATCAACAACATCATCATCACCACCACCAGCATCATCAACATCAACATCATCACCATCATCAGCATCATCATCATCACCGTCATCAGCATCATCAGCACCACCATCACCACCGAGCATCGTAATCGTCGTCATTGCCACCACCACCACCATCGTCATCACCACCACCAACCTTACCATCATTATCATCACCACCACCACCGCCATCATCATCGTCATCATCACCACCACGATCATCATAATCGTGATCATGATCATGAGCATGACCATCATCATCATCCTCATCATCCTCATATTCGACGTTGCCCTCATCATCATCATCCTCGTCCTCATCCTCCTCATCCTAATCACCATCATCATCATCACGATCACCATCACCATCACCATCATCCCCGATCACCATCGTCATCACCAATCATCATCACTGCCATCACCATCACCATCATCTGAACCATCATGATCACCAGCATCATCATCACCATCACCATCAGCATCAGCATCATCAGCATCACCAGCAACATCATTACCATCACCACCATCACCACCATCATCATCATCAACAGCATCACCATCCTCATCCTCATCTTCATGGTCCTTATTCTCATCATCGTCATCACCATCACCATCATCATCATCATCATCATCATCATCATCATCATCATCATCATCATCATCATCATCATCATCTTCATCATCCTTATCACGGCTCTCCAAAGCCTGGAGACACGAGGTGTCATACGTGGCGGCCCCCCGTGCCCCCTCGCACTTCTTGCGTCGCCGTCGCTACCCCTACCCCCAACGGTTTCCGAGGGGGAGGGCGGGGTTCACTCCGCTCGGGAGCTCCCGAACGCAGTGAGCGCCACCCTCCCCCTCAGAAATCGTGGGGGGTAGGGGTAGGGTTCGCATGTGGTCCCCTAACCTTTTGTCGGGCGTGTCCCCCTACAGGGGGATTTTCGACGAAAAATGAAACACACCCTCAAAATACAACAAAAACGCAAAAAAATACTAGAAAAATAGTCCCAGGCTATTTTTGGAGTATTTGTTGATTATTTTGGGGATATTTCTTATTTTTCGTCGAAAATCCCCCTGTAGGGAGACAGGCCCGACTTAACCCTAACTGTGGCCGGACCTGCCGCAGGCAGCTGGATACTCTTGGTCGGCCTGGGAAAACCCTGGAGGCACACTGCGGGCCCCAGGGGCCCTCAAAGGAGCGACCCAGGAGAAACAACCTGCCCCCTTTCGAGCGTTTTCGCCCCTAATCGCCTCTGGCCATCGCTCGGACGTTCATTCCCTGTGATTTGTTCGATTTTGTGCGTGGTTTTTTCGCCAAATGATCAAGGATGCTCCTCGATGGTCCTCGCCGAAGGAAAAATGAACACGTCCGAGCGATGCCAAGGCCTCGTCCTCGTCGTCCCCGTCGCTCGTCCTCGTCGATCCCGTTGCCGTTCCCAGACCTCCGCCGTGCCGCCCCCAGAAGTCTGGCGTCGCAAGTTACTCGTGGCGTGGGCCCCTGCTGGCTCCCCTTTGAGGTCCTTCTTCCCCCCCAATTTAGGTCACCCCAGGGCTCGAGTTAAACAGTGTTTTCCGTTTTCGTTTTGCTGTCGTCATCCCTAGTTCTGTCTTCGTTCCACGTAGGCTGCAAAACGAAGTTCAAACGAAAACGGTCCGCGAAATTGCCAAAGCACCGTTTAGCTCGAGCCCTGGGTCACCCCCCATTGCCACCCGCGCGATCTTGCCTAGCCACGAGGTGCCCACGTCACGCACAGTCCGTGACGGCGGAGGTCCAAGGACGGCGGCGAGGACGACGAGGACGACAAACGCAGGATGGCCCCGGGGCCGTTCAAGGAGCGACACCCAAGATGGAAACCCTGTCTCCTTCAGAGGCGTCGAGAGCTCCAGGGTGCCCACGCCACGAGTACTTCGCGACGACGGATTTCTGGGAACGGCACGGCGGAGGTCTGGGAACGGCGGCGAGGACGACGAGGACGACCAGTGCAGGATGGCGATTCGAAACAAAAACGCATGGGAACGATGGAAAGCACTGGCATAATTTTCTGCCGCTGTGAAAAGATTTTGGGAGGGGGCGGTCGGATAACCTCAACGGCTTCGACGCTCCCTCGCGCAGGCTCGGAGCCAAACTTGTAGCTCATCGCCCAAGGCGCCTGGACATTTCTCAATCGTCACCTTCAGTTACAGTCGAGGTACTACCAGAAGGAACGCCAAATAAGGAACCAAAGGGCTTTTCTGGCCACGGTGGGCCTAGGCCACAAGCAAATCCCGCGACATAAATCTAAGAAACGACCCAAATCCCCGAGCCCCTTCCGAACCCAAAGCGGTCCTTATTTCAGCGTCTTGGCTGTACGACGACGGAGGTCGGAGGGAGGGCTGCGGCATGGAGGCCTTCAACGACGAGGCCAGGGACAACGAGGCCGACAAGGATGAGATCGTGTTCTGGCCTCTTGGGCCTTACAAGGGGTGACCGGCGCCACGGCCGGATTCGCCTCGGAGCCCAGGTCAGAACGGAATATGGGATATACGTGTCCCCCTCCCTCCGACTTAGAGGGGGCGTGGGGGACGGACGACGAGGACACGAGGACGAGGACTACGGCAACGACGAGGATGAGGACGACGACGGTCATCGCCGTTCTCGTCGACGTCGGCGACAGCGACGACGGCGATGGCGACCGCTACATCCGACGATGTCATGTTGTTCAGCGCGCGGCCCTAGAAGGTCCCCACCCTTCCCCCTGGGGCAAAGCTTCCCTCTGGATCATGTTATATGACCCCGCGGCCTGAGAACTGGCCCCAGAAGCTGAAAACTAAGAAACATGCCCTGATTGAAACAACTCACATCGCCGGAGATCTGAGGACGACGACCGGCCACCAGCCTCTATGAACGTGTTGCGCACGGACAGCCTGGGAAGATGAACAACTTACCCACACACAAACACACTCGCACGCCCGAACCGAAATGGGTACGGACAACAATTAGTATGATGCCCATGAACTAAAATTGGCCAAAACCGGCAACGTCCGCTGTTGGCCAGGCGACATGGTCCCTCGAACGGACAGCGTCAGGAGCGACGCCGACATCGAGCCCTGTCCAAGACGGAGAGGAGCTGTGTCGGTCTTCTAGAGGCCTCCTAGATCGGGTCCGAGCAGACGGGGTCGACGGATCGCGCCGCATCGCCAATGCCTCGCCGATGTATCGGCGATGCATCGGCGACGTCGGTAATGCATCGGCGACGTCGGCGTGGGGAAACACGGGCTCCACATCGAGCCGCATCGGCGGTGCATAGGCGATGCAGCGCGATCCTCCGACCCCATCTACTCGGACCCCATACAGGAGGCCTGGATCTTCGCCCCCTTTCGGGCGTTGGCAGAACTGTGTTTAGTGGGACCTGGTTTCGTGTTGTGTACTGGGGGTCGCCCCCCCGCCCCGTTCCACTAACCGGAGCTGCCGTCGCGAGAAAAAACACCAGCTATGGCAATTTAGTGATTCTGGCCAATTTAGGGGCTCCAGGACCCTACCACTAATGGGGTCCCCTTACCTGGGGTCCTGGCTATACCCGACCCTTGTTTCCATACCCGAGTCGATCGCACTGGCACGCGTGAGCAGATCCTCGGTAAGGAAACGAACTCTATACACCGACGCTTTTCCCGACCCTGCGCTGAAATTCGCACAGGAACGCGGATTCTGGTGTATACGGAACCCTGGTGTATACATTCTTCGTTGTTTCCGCGGGACATCGGGGAAAAAAGTATACACCACACCATCCCAGCGTCGTCCTCGACCCTCAAAAAGTCCTGGGATTGAAAAAACAACCCGCCACTGGTAATGTGTATGTTCCAGTTTGCGACCTGGCTGACCCCCGTTTGCATTGACCCCCGTCTCTTAAGCTCGAAGGCCCGCCGCACGGGATCCTGCCGGGGCCTCCGCCGCGGCGCGCCAGGGGGAGCCCGGGACGTGGACGCACCCCCGCCCAAGGGGGGCGCGGCGCCGCGGCGCCGGGGGGAGAGCTGCGCGCCCTCCCTCCCTCCCTCCCTCCAAAAGACGAAGCCAGCACGAAGACCAACTCGGGCGAGGATAGCTGAAGGGGCCCTGGGACACACAAAGAAATACACAAATATAACAGGATTCCCCATATTTTCCCATATTTGCTGGGTTTTTGACTTCCTCCCCACTTCCCATATTTCCCCATCTCTTCTGGGAATCGACGATGAATTGTGTCTGTGCGTTTTCCCCTCCTGAATAGCATGGAGGATCTCTGAGATCCGGCGGCTCCGGAGGATGCTCCAGCCTCCGACTCGGCCCAGAGCCGGACGGGGCCGGAGGCCAGCGCGGGGGGGCAGCAGCCACCGTTTACCAGCCTGGGACATATCCCTATCCCTAAGCTTGGCATCGCCTCAACACAATGCCAATCTTAGGGATTCCCTTAGTTTTTCAGGGCGCATCCCTAAGATTGTCATCGCCTTTTGGCGTGCCAATCTTAGGGATAAGGATAAGTTCGAGGCTGGTGAACCGTGAGCCGACCGCCGCGAGAGGCTCCTGGCCAGAACGCTCGACCCCCACCTCTCTCGGGCCGGGTGAAAGGGGGGGATAGCAACTGAGCAGTCTCTTAGGGTGGGGGGCTCAGGGTGAAGTCCATGTGAGCTGTTGCACCTCGAAAATCAATCCGTTCTGTCGCTCGCTGTTTGCAGATTCAAGCCTCGAAAACCCATCGAAACGGCATTTCAGATTTCACCCTTTGCCCTCCACCCGAAGAAACTGATCAGAGCAAAGGAGGGGGGATTGAGAACCAGCTCGCGCAGCTGATTTTCCTGGCGCCTCCCGGCGCCCAGGTATCGAGGAATGGGCCCGGCAGCGGAGCCGAAACCAGCTGCATGCAGCAGATTTCGTACCCCCCCCTTTCCCAATCCTCATTTGCGGTCCTCCTCCTCCTCCTCCTTTTTTCTCCTCCTCCTCCTCCTCCTCCTCCTCCTCCTCCTCCTTTCCTCCTCCTCCTGCTCGTCCTCCTCCTCCCAATCCCCCCCTGTCGCTCGGCCCGACTCTCGGGGGCGCCAGACGGCCTGGACCTCCGACGCTCCGATGTTTTGCTGCAGCCCATGGCGCCCTTCCTCGACTCCGGCCTCGGGGGGACCCGTTTTCGGGGCCCGGGGCCATCAGAGCAGATCGGCGGCTGTCTGGGAGGAGGGGGGCCAAGAATGGGGGGGTAGCGTGTCTCGTGGCCCGCAGCATTATGTGTGCACGGACTTTGGGATGGCCAGAAAGCGTCTTGAGAGAAGAAGAGGGGTCACGATAACTCGGAACTGTCGTGGCCCTGGCCATGCTATCCAGACCGCCTGAGATCGCACGTTGCGAGAGAATGCGAAATTATGACACGCTACCACCAGAATCCTGGACCACATCTTCTTGCGCTTTCCCCAATTCGGCTTGCCTAAGGGTTCTTACTTGGTTACTGGCCATCGCTCAGACGTCCATTCCCTGTGCTTTTTTCGGTCTCGTGCGTGGCTTTTTCGCAGATGAGCAAGGATGTTCCTCGATGGTCCTCGCCGAAGGAAAACTGCACACGTCCGAGCGATGCCAAGGCTAAGAAGAATGGTGCCTCGGGGGGGGCACGTCGACCGCTCCCCAGAGATTCCTCGGGTCTCCCACCTCCGGCGCCTCCTATTGGTACGTTGCCCATTCCCCGGAGACCTTGGGTTCCTCGGGTCCCCCAGATTCCTCGGGTTCCTCAGGTTCCTCGGGTTCCCTGGGTTCCTCGGGTTCCTCGGATATCTCGGGTTCCTCGCATTCCCTGGGTTCCTCGAGTTCCCCGGGTTCCTCGGCAATGCCAAGCAGAATGCCAACTGCCAAGCAATGCCAAGAACTGTGCTCATGCAGTAGGAAACTTTCCCCTAATTGGAGTTCGTGCCAGGTTCATTTCGAACCGGGTCGTTCTGTGATGGTCCTGGGCCCGAAACAGGTCGAAAACGCCTGGTGTGTTAAAGATGTTGAACGCCCAGGCCTCAAGCTTCCCACAATTCTCACCCTCCTCTTGGACGCGCCCCCGCACCTCTCTGCTGGGCTTCTCGAGCGGCGCAAGCACCGGGCCCGAACGGCGGGGCAATGCGGCGTTGGTCGCACTCTCTTCTTCGCGACGCTCGGACCAGAGACGGTTCAGAGCCCCCCTGGCCGACCTGAAGGGGTAGCCGTAGCCGGAGGCGGCGTCCTCCTGTGAGGGGCAACGATAGGGTCAGACCAGCTCCAGGGGGAAACGTCGACCTGCAATCGGCGATGACACCGAGGTCGGTTCCGAGCCTTCCTGGGCAGCTAGAAAGGATAGTCTCGCCATCGCTCGGACGTCCATTCCGTGTGTTTTTTTTCGGTTTCGTGCGTGGTTTTTCCCCCAAATGGTCAAGGATGCTCCTCGATGGTCCTGGCCGAGAAAAATGCACACGTCCGAGCGATGCCGAGGGGCGGCCAGGAAGGATAGTTGGAGGCCGGCTCACGGGGTGGGGGGATACCTCGGCTTGCAATCGGCGATTGCACTGCAGACAGGTCGGCGATGGGCCATCGACCCTCGATAGCAAATCCACACGCTCCTGGGCGGGGTAGGCCACTTATCGGGCACCATCGGCGACGAATGGGCGATTGGGGGTCGATGCATCCTCATCTGGGCCTGTCCGCCCCCTTACGTTGCGCCTGATCCTTGGTGGTGGCACCGCCAGATGATATCCACATCCCCAGGTCTCCGAACTTGTGATTGTTTTTGCAGAATGGACCACTTCCCCAGGATCGGCTATTCATCCCGAGTCGTGCTTTGACGGTCCTGGGACCCTAGGGACACAAAAGGCTGAGAATTCAGAACCACTCTCGTCACCAAACATGCGATGTCCTGACAATCTCAAGACGGGGGTCCCAGAAGTCCCGATCTGTTCCCCAGGGCCAATCTTTCATCCAGAACCGTTTTCGACGGCCCTCGGGCGTGCCGGCAAGGGCCCCAGGAGGCCGAAAACTGCCAAGCACATCCCTACGCATTTTTTAACGACGCGAGCGTGCCCGGGTCATGCTTTCTTATGCGCTCACGGCGCGGGGATGCCGAATGTGGAGCAAGGAGGAGGAGGAGGAGGAGGAGGAGCAGGAGGAGGAGGAGGGAGAGGAGGAGAAGGAGGAGGAGGAGGAGGAGGAGGGGAGGAGGAGGAGGAGGGGAGGAGGAGGAGGAGGAGGAGGAGGAGGAGGAGGAGAAGGAGGAGGAGGAGGAAGAGGAGGAGGAACGAGGAGGAGGGAGGAGGGGGGGGTCCACCAGCAGGTGTGGGGAAAAACACCGAATGGGGGTTCACCACTTGGGGGGTCGCCCATTCCTGGAGGAGATGGCCCCCCCGGGAACACCCCAGAGCCTTCCCAAGGGACCTCTCACGTCAAAACATCTCAACGACCTTCGATCCTGGAACTCTAACCCCCTCGCGTTGGGAACAGATCACGACGGGAGGTTTAGACTACTTCGGCCTCCGGGGGCCCTTTCGGGGCCCCGGGGCTGTCAATAAAACGACTCAGGGCAAAAAGCCGGTCCCAGGGAAGGGCCACAGAGCCTTCCAAAGGGACCTCTCACGATATATTTTGTTCCCATCCTACTGAAGGACCACATCCCAAAAATAATTTCGAGCACCCGGAAAAGTGTCAAAGGAGTGTCGAAGCAGTGTCGAAACAGCGTCGGGCGAGTGTCTCCCAGGGCCCGACACGTGAAAACCGTTGAATTTCGGAACTTTTCTGGCGCTCGAAATTCTTTCTGGCGATCAAGGCCAAAGTAGTTTGGAGCATCATAACTCTCACGTCGAAACATCTCAACGACCTTCGATCCTCGAACTCCAACCCCCTCGCGTTGGGAACAGATCACGACGGGAGGTTTGGACTACTTCGGCCCCCGGGGGCCCTTGCGGGGCCCCGGGGCTGTCCTCCTACAGGGAGATTCTGGAGGAAAAATAAAACAAATAGTCAAACAATATCCCCCAAATATTCAAAAATGATGCAACAAATCGTCCCTGGAGTATTTTTTGGTTTTGCACTATTTTTGAATATTTCCCCTGTAGAGGGACACGCCCGACTTCACCTTACGGGGCCCCGGGGCTGTCAATAAAGCGACTCAGGATAGAAAGCCGGTCCTGGGAAAGGGGTCCTGACCTCTGGGGGTTGACGTCATGACAGATCATGACGTCGGGGCCTGGAATCCTGCAACCTCGATTTCCTGGAACGGGTGACCCCCCTGGCGATGACCCCGCCCCTTGGCACTGCCCGACCTTCGGGGGGGCACGGACGCTGGCGCGCTGGGGCCAGACCTTCTGGCGGCCTCATGGTCTCCGACGGCATGCTTTTTTGTTCAAATCCCGTGCGGGTTGTCCCTCAATCTCGGTTGTCCCGTCCGGCCCGTGTTCCCTCGTTTCGGCCCCAGTCCGCCTTTCTTTGCTGCCGACGCGAAACCGGCCACCACGAAATCGCCAAAACACCGTTTGGGTCGACCCCTGCCCCAAACGCCATCAGGAATGGAGTTGGGGCGGAGTACTTGCCCCAGGGAAGGGGCTGGAAGGGGTCTCCGCTCTCTGGGGTGAAGTCGGGACTCTGCCCCTCGCCTCTACAGGAGGACTATATTCAAAAATAGCCAAAAAGCAGTCTGGGGACCATTTGTGGAATATTTGTTAGTATTTGGGGGATATTGTCTGACTATCTTTAGATCGGGCGTGTCCCCCTACAGGGGGAATTTGGACGAAAAATAAAAAATACAAAAAAATACTCCCAAATAATCAAAACTATTCAACACATCTTCAAAAAATACCCAACATAGTCAAAAATCACTCAATACACAAAATGCTCCAAATAATCCCCAGACCATTCTTTGACTATTTTTGAAGAGCCCCCCTGTAAAGGGACAGGCCCGACTTGGGACTATTTCTAAGTTTTCGCTCAAAACCCCCCCTGTAGGGGGACAGGCCCGACCCGACTCTGGAGCCGCGCACGGACACAGGGGAACAAGCAAAACGGCAGAAACAGGATACTTCCGGAGGTCCGCGCGGAGTATCCTTGGATCGGCGCCAGTGAAGGAGCCCCAGGACACACAAATCAATTCGGCGGTGGACAAACCTCCCTTTAGAAAACCTCCACTTAGTGAAAACGGCCCGGGACCGAAGCCGACGGACCTGGACCCGCAAAAATGACGGCCGCGACGCCCTCTCGCGAAACGGAAACGACCGATTCCTGAATCGACGCGTCAGGGTAGGAGGCCCATCCACCTCCGATGATAAAAACACACAAGTCCCAAGCTTCCCCACATTTTCCCATCTTTTCCTCTCAGTTCTCGTCCTCCCCCCCCCCCACTTCCCAGATGTTCCCAGACCTCCCGGGAAATTCGACGATTCACTGTGTCTGTCTCTGTGTGTGTTTCCCCGCCTGAGCGGGAGGCGCCGCGGACTCCGGCGCCGACCCGAGGAATGCGCGCGGACCTCCCAAGAAGTGCATGCTCATGACTGAAGGGGCCCCAGAACACACAAATAAGTACACACAAATAAAAGGATCCCCCATATTTTCCCATATTTTCTGGGTTTTTGTCTTCCCCCCCACTTCCCAGATGTTCCCATATTTTCTGGGAATCGACGATTAATTGTGTCTGTGTGTGTTTTTCCCTTCCTGAATGACGCTCTTCCCTGTCTTCCCCGAGGACAGAGAAATCACGCCGTCGAGCGTCTGGCGGCGGGCTCCTCGTCCTCCTCGTGGGTGGGCGACGAGGTCAGGGCGGGCGACGTGGGGAGCGAGAAGTTGGCGGCGGACATCCCCCCCGAGGATCGCGCGCTTCCCCAGTAAGAGGGCGCGAGTGGAGGGGGGGAGGGGCCTCGGGCGCGCGCGTGCCGCTGCACGGCCAAAATGGCTTGGGCCAAAATGGCTCTGGGTTGAGCAAAGACCGACCGCCCCGGCATTGCTACGTGCCCACCGAGACACGCTGTGAGAACAACATAATTTTCTAAGGCCCAGAACTCTGTTCTGTAGAAAAGACGGTTTCAGCCATACGCGTTTCAATGCCATTTCATGGACCACAACATGTTGTCATAAGATTATGTAGCGGGCCGATGGGCAAGCCAGGACGCCTCGCCACTGCGTGAATGGGTGGATGGGAATGATGGGGAGGAGGGGATGCGGAAAAAGGAGGGCGGGGGCAAGAGGCAGGAGGGAGAGGAGGGAGAGGAGGGAGGATGAGATGGAGGAAGGGAGGCCAGACAGGAGGGAGAGAGGGAGCACGGAGGCAAGGAGCAAGCAGGAGAGAGGACGACGATGATCAGATATCAAGACATATAGGGACGTGAAGAGCAGATGGACTGACTGCAGGGGCGGGATGGTCGGAGAAGGAGGCTGAAAGGGAGCAGGAGCGGGAATGGGAGAATGATAAGGAGAAAGAGTGGTCGGAGGAGAAGGAAGGGAAGACGACGAGTGAAGAGAAAGAAGAAAACGATCTCGGGGCCAGACCCGGGTCAGTCAAGAATTGCGGGATCCTGCGCGATCCTGCACCCAAACGCGGGTCAGCGGAACCTGGCTCCGCAGAGTCCTGCAAGATCTGGCGCTCTGACTGACCCCTGTTTGCGCTGACCCCCTATCGCTTGAGCCCCGACTATCGTCCCAAAGGGATCGGCCAGCGTGCCTCCTCTGTCGGCCCTCGGGGATCTGCTGACCTGGGTCAATCAGACCCGGGTCAGGAACCCCAAAACTGAAATGCACGAGCAAAAAACTGCAACGCAGGGCTTCGCAAACCGGGGTCAACCAACATGCGCGGCCGCCTCGCGGCCACGAGCGGCTCGCTAACCCGGGTCAGCCAGAGGGGGTCTTCGCAGGATCCTGCAGGATCCGGTGCCCTGGCTTTAAGTCGGGCATGTCCCCCTACAGGGGGATTTTGGAGGAAAAATGAAAAGTAGTCCAAACATAATCCAAAATTGTCAAACAATTTTTAAAAAATAGTCCCCAGACTAGTTTTTACTATTTTTGAATATTCCTCCTGTAGAGGGACAGGCCCCGACTGAACCCTGGCTGACCCGTCTCTTAAGCGTCGAGGCCCGCCGCACGGGATCCTGCCAGGGCCTCCGCCGCGGCGCGCCAGGGGGAACCCGGGACGTGGACGCACCCCCGCCCAAGGGGGACGAGGCGTCGAGGAGCCGGGGGGAGAGCTGCGCGTCCTCCATCCCTCCCTCCCTCCAAACACGAAACCAGGACGAAGACAAACTCGGGTGAGCATAGCATCGAGAATCTCTGAGATCCGGCGGCTCTGGAGGATGTTTCGGGCGCCGCGTCCATCTCAGAGCGTTCTGAAACGCTCTGAGAGCGTTCCGCAACGCTCTGGAACGGAGTTATCTTCGTCCTGACCCCGTCCGACCTCTTCTCTCTCTCTCTCTCTCCCTCTCTTTCCTTCGCTCCACTCCACACGGCCCGAGAGGTTCCCCGAGATTGCCCAATCATCATCCAAGACGGCCTCAAGACAGACCAGGAAGGTCCTAGACGGCACAGAACGACCCCAAGAGATCTCCAACCTTGCCCAAGAGGGCCTCTCGAGAGACCCAAGACGGCCTTCGGGATCCCCACGACGGTCCAAGACGGCCCCAGGTCCGGGCTACGACGGCGGCAACAGACCCTGCAGACGGCGACGAAGGCCCCAAGACGGCCCAAGAGAGCTTCAAGACGGCCCCTAAGACGGCCCAAGGTGGACCCCCAAGACTGCCCCACACGGGCCCAAACGATCCCCTCCTCAACATCATGACCATCAGGATGTTCCATATCGCAGTCGTCCGCTGAGAGGCTCCATGTTCTCTTTCTCCTCCCCCTGACCCCACCCCTGCTCATCGTTTCCTTGATCCTCCTTCGCCGCCTCAGGACGACTTCGGACGATCCAAGATACGACGGTCGAAGTGTGGCATCGGACTGCGATGTGCATTTTACAAAATCCTGCCGTTTCTCGGGAAATTGATTTGGAAGCACCATGACGCCACGGTGGAAAGCATCGCCGCACGCAGCTACTATATATATATATATGTATAAATATGTATATGTGTATGTAAGATTCCATATATATAAATATATATAACATTCGTAAGTGTATACATGCATGGGTTTAGGTATTCAACAATGTGCGGATGTGAGCATACATGCGTTCATATGCACCACTTTACTTGCGCACATGAACAACTGTCGCAACGTGTATGTGTCATGTGTGTAAACACGCATGCACATATACCAGGTCATGTACTTGCGCATATACATATAGGCATGAACGCTTACAAATACATACATATATGCAAATGTACATGTACATACGTGTATACAGACATACATACACGCCTGTGCACACATATTCACACCACACATACATACATACACCCCGGCTCCCATGCCTGCACACATACATGCGTACACACACACGGACGCACGTATACATTTAAATACACATCTACATACATACATACACACATACATGTATGCATACATGTACGCATGCATGTAAACATACATGCGCACGTGCATACGTACACACATACCTATATACACATGCACATACATGAACACAACCATGCACACACGCACATCAACTCACCCGTCCATGCATACATACATGCACTCATGCATCCATACATACATGCATGCACGCAAACATGCACACACATACATACATACAAACTTTCATTGTTCCATATCTATGTATACGCAAAACCGTACATATATACATACACGTATATATATATATATATATATATATATACACGTGTTTTGTTTGTGGGTCGAGAGCGAACCTCTTCCGGTTAGGAGCTAGGCGGGCCGCGCAAAACGCGATTTGGGGAGACAGGGCGCGGGCGGGCGGGGCCTCAGGCGGCCGGACGGCGCGGGGTGCACGCGGTGCTGAAAAGCTTGCACCGGAAAAAAAAAACGCCTTGGACAGGAGCTGGAGGCGAATTCCCGGAGGGAGAGCGAAGTGGCGTTGCCGTGGACGGCGCGTCAAAATCACCATCCTCAAGAGCTGCGTGCGGAAGGACGTAACCAGGTCGACGTCCGGGGGGTACAGGTACACCGGGTAGGCGAAGAGCAACTGGTGCCATCAAGTGGCGAGGATGGGCCCAGGAGATGAGGAGGACCACGAAGACGATGCGCACCGTTGTGCCACCCGGTGGTCTGTAGCGGCCTGGGGTGGTAGTCCAATCCACGTCCAGGGGGCAGCCAGGAGGTGCGGCCAGAAGCAAGGCCGTCTGTGTCCGCGTGGCCGGGGGCCGGGCCTGAGCCGTGCTGCCCAGGGCAAGCGGGGCCGCCGAAGCGGCAAGGTGCAGTGCCAAGCACCAGGCCGGAGCTGCGCTGTGCCAGGCGCTGCTGCCATGGGGGGGGGGGGGAACGAGCGGGGGGGGGAAGAAGCGAACAGGGAGGAGGGAGGCCGGCGCCCCGCGCCGACCGAAGTCGCGCCAGCTTGCACCGAGGTGCCCACGTGGGGACAAGCCCCAATGTCCCAACGCCGGAAAATACATGTATACACACATATACAATCATATGTGCATATCTACGTGTACACGCATGTGCAGACACGTGTGGTTGAATGTATGATGTCACGCTCGTATGTATATACAACACGACATGCATATAGCACTACACATGTTTGTGTTAGACTCTCTCAATGTGTCTCTCTCCCTCTCCCTCTGTCGGGGTCGCGGGGGGGGGGGGGGGGAGGGCGTTCGCGGAGGAGACGACGGAGGAAGGAGGCGGATGGAGGGAGACGGATGGGGGGCGGGCAGGATAGGGGCGATATAAGCGAGGGCGCGACTGAGCGAGGGAAACACGATCACCCAACGCCGACTCGGAAACCAACTATGTCGGATCGAAATTCGGCAAACAAAATGGACAGCGTCGAAATCAATGCGCGCCAGACCGAGTCGCAATTCGGAGTCGAATCGGATCGAAAACGAGATCTTCGAGATCGAACTGATGCAAATCGACGGAGCTAAAATGCTTGAGGGCGGGGGGGGGCGAGCGGCAGAGAAACCAGGGAGGAGCGAGCGGGGAGGAGCGAGGGGGGACGAGCGGGAGGAGGAGAGGGAGGAGAGAAGGAGGAGGAGCGAGGCAGGAGGAGAGGAGCGAGGAAGGACAGGAAACGAGGCCAATCAGGGAGGAGCGGGGGGAGGAGAAGAGGCCAATCATGGGGGGGGCGGGGGGGGGGGGCGGAAGGCGGGCGCGGGCCCGAGCGCGGGCGCGGCCGCGAGCAGGTCCGCGCGGGGGGCTGGCTGGGGGCGAGGGAGGGAGGCTGGAAAGGGTGGATGGTGGAAGCGTGATGGGCCGATTGTCCACCCCCAATACCATAGGCGGGAGGTGGAGGTGGAGGACCTCCCCACCCTCCCTTCCCCCCCATCCTATGGTATTGGTGGTGGAAATCTGGCCCATTCGAAAGGGGGTGCACGAGGGGAAAGGGGGGGGTGGATGGGGGGGGGGCAGGAGGGGGGGGGAGGGGGGTGGAGGGGGGGTGTCTCCCCATTGGAATCTCCGTGGTTCACTGCCACCCCTCGGGGCGGGGCTGGAAGGGGGGGAGGAGGAGTGAAGGGAATGGCGGGGTTGAGGGGGGCTGGAGGAGGAGGAGGAGGGGGAGGGGCGCACGGCCTTCAGGAAGAGCTCCGGCGGGTGAAGCCAGCTGGAAGATGTGCACGGCGAGCTGTCTGCCGAAGTCGAGCGGCAGCGAATCTCTGGAAAGCTCGGGCCCCACCCCTACTCCCTTTCAGGGCGTGGCGAGCAGAATGAAATGTGTCAAGAAATACAGCTATAGAAGGATGGCGCCATTTGAAAAAGGGTGCGAGCGGGAACAGACAAGGAAGGTTGCGAGATGAGCTGGCTCCAGGAGGCAGATGCGGAAACTTCGAACGCAGTGGCTCGGCAACTCGCGGGCACCGGGGGACATGTAACAAAGTGTCGCTCGATGGGGCCCCACAGAAGAGACAAGCATGTGTCCTACCTCTAAATCTACCTGTCGCGCACCACGCATTCCTGATCGTAAGGGGGCAGGAGGGAGCGAGGAACGGGGGGGCATCAGCACACAGCCTAAACAGGAACATATAAACCGAATCAGCATTCTCATTCGTAGCGAGCGGGAGGAAGCGCCGAAGACGAGCGAGCAATAAACGGCGCGTGGAAGAGGGCCTCATTTCAGAAGCGCATGCTCTGCTTTATGCTGGAACCGAAGATCGCCGAATGCAGGGGCGCGCGGAATGCGACTCAGCTGGTCATTGTTATTCACCATACTCAAAAACGCACTCTCTTTCCACCGCGGGTGGCGGTCGTGCAACGCGATGCATTCGTCGTTCTCAGCGAACTCGCGCAGCCTGGCCGCGCAGGAGAAGAACGCTCTCGACATAGTGGCAGCGCGGAACATGGCCGCGCGCAATGCACTGGAAGCTTCTGGCGGCAACGCCGAACCCGAGACCGTCGAGGTTCCGAAGGACGTCCGACGCGATGGCATTACGAGGTCCGTTGACGAGAAACTGCAGGGAGCGAGCGGTTTCCGATCTGCAGGGCGAAGGTGGTCGGGTAGTAGAACTGCGAATCATGAGACAATACCGAGACGGCGTACACGTTGAACCGAGCGAGCGAGCGGAGAATCCCGAGACCGAGTCCTTGAATGGCTTTCGCCCTGTCGAGGCACTTCAGAACGGGCACCTGCCAGCTCCTGTCACGGCCGCCCGGCCCTAAACAAATTCCGAGATACTTGGCAGCCTGGCAGCAAGCAAACTCTGCGGCCGTAATTCCGCGCTCACGAAGAAGAGTCTGGAACTCGTCGCGCGAGAAGGGGTGGATCAGACCAACAGTGGTCTTGAAGATGTTAAGGGAGGCGCCTGCGCCGGCGCTCGCGACGTCCCAGGCCGGCAGCGCAAGCGCGAGCGACGAGAAAATATTCGAACTGGCCAGGCCTGTGTCATCCGCGAATACACCTAGTTCGCCCAGCTGGGGCGGCAATATGTAGCGTAGGTATCTGAGGAACGGGTCGAACGCGATACAAGAGAGCGAGCCTGATAAGGGGCGCCCTTGCTTGATCCCTCGGAGAGCCCAATGCCCGGCAGCGCGGGCCCCGCAGAAGTTCATGCCGACCCAGGCCCGAGAGTAGGAGGAGACGAACGGCCCGAATGATATGCCCAGGAATTCCCATAGCTTCTAGGGCCCACCAGATCATCGCGCGGAGGAGGCCGGGGAAGGCGGTGCGCACATCGAAAAAGGCGAAACCCGTGAATCGGAAGCCATCTGGCAGCACCACTGCAAAGCCCAAGACTCGAGGGCGATGATCTTCTCATTCGTGCGTCGGCTGCGGACCAAACCTCGTTGCTCAGGGAAGGCAGTTTCACGGCGCGCGGCCGAAATCGGGATGGTGAGGGTCCTGGAGATCAATTTATTGTCGGTGTTCGACAGGGCGATGGGGCGGGTGAACTTTGGCTTCCGATAAACACCTAGGGTCCGGCCCTCGCCCTCGACTCCCATGGCCAGGACGATAGCGAAGCAAAAGTTGAAATCGCTAGACACGTTGCCGCCGCGCAGCAACTCGAGGTAGAAAGCGAAAATGATCGTTGATCCCTGTGTTCCTGACCTGGTCCACCCAGAGTCAGGGATTCCGTCGGGGTTACACCAGGGCAATGGATTTTCCTCACGCTTTCGCAGAGCCCCCCGAAGCAGATGTCCCAAAAGATGTGGTCAGGCGCAGGAACAACGTAACCACGAAAAGTGTGTCGAGCATCCTCCGAGCCTTCCTCCAAGCTGTGCGCAGACCCCCAGTGGTTCGCCAGGATTTCAGCAACGCGGTCAGGATCAGAAACGTCCTGCCCAGCGGGGTCAGTGACCCCTCCCAGAGAAACGCGCCGATTGGCACCTCCCCAAGACGAAAGATATTCCGTCAATCGCCGCTTAGAGGAAGCCTTCCTACTAGGATGCATTTGCGGATCGCGGTCGATCTCCGCTATGTTGGCTTTGATGTTGTCCGCTGCCAAACCATCGAGCCACCTGTAGAAACCGCGCCCTGGGGTCTTCAACTCGGTCGCAGCCGACGGGGGGGCTCGAGCGACCTACAAGTGATTTCACCGCCCCAACTCTCAGGGCTGCATCAAACAGCCACCTGCTGGGCGCCGCTGGGTTTTTTCTTCTCCTTCAGTGTTCCGCCATGGCCACGGCTGCCGCTGCCATGGAACGCGGCATCAAGTCGACCCTTGAGAAGGTTGACTCGATGAACAGCAACTTCGCCAAGCAGTTCGCCGACGTCAATTTGACTTTGTCCGAGCTGCCACAGCTGAAGGGGCACGTGGGCACCGCCAACGCGAAACTCAACGAGCTCCGCCACCGCCTGGAGGTACTGGAGAGCAAGCAGGCCGGCGCGGTCATGGACGCACAGGTAGCCGCAGAGTTTGCCAAGCTCGAGGCCAAGATCAACAGCTCCTCCCTCGCAGGGTCTAGCGGCGGCAGCACCGCGTCGTTGCCCTCGGCCAAGAAGCGCCAGATCGAGCCAGGCACGCACGCTGGCCCAGGACGTCACGACGACCCTCTTCAGGCCGAACACCGCGACAAGCAGAAGGCATGGATCACGGGTTTCGTCTCTCCGATGCTTGGCGCCACCCTCGAGCAGCGCGGGCGCGCGCTGCTCGGCCTGATTCCTAGCCGCCGCAGCGCCAGCGCCACCATCCGCGGCTACAACCTCAGACAGGGCTACAGCATCCGCTTCAGCAGTGAGGCAGGCGCCAAGCACTTCGTCGTCCAGTTCAAGAACGCCGCGCCCCAGTTCCAGGACGCCGCGCCCAACTCCACCATCACGCTCAGAGTGCGCTACGACGCCCCCATGTCCATCCGCGTCAAGAACAAGTACCTCGGGGGACTCTGGCAGGCCGTCCTGCTGGCGCTCAAGAGTGACGGCAAGTGGAACGACAAGCACACCATGGGCTCCAACGCCTTCAAGGGCGTGCTCTACCTCAAGACGGACAGCGGCACTTCATCCTCTTCACGCTGGTGGCCAAGGACCGCGACCAGTTCGAGTGCGACCCCAACACCGCCAACCTTTCCAAGTTCGGGCTCGACTCCGTCGCCGTTGCGGAGATGATCTCGACCGCGATGGAATAGGAAGCCACGCCGCTGGAACCGAGTACTGACATGCCGCTGTGTTCTCCTGGCGTCGATGAGAGCGGGCAGATCATCGACTGTGGTGATAGCGACAGCGCCAGTTCGACCTCGTCTTCACCTGCTTCGTCTTCTGCTACCTGTTCCTCTTCCTCCGCCAGTTCGCCGCCGTCTTTAGCCGCCAGCTCTTTCGGCGGCCTGCTCTTCCTTGTCACCAAGCACTTCTCCATCGTTACGTGGAACGTGCAAGCCCTCTTTGGCTCTACGTCTTCCCAGATTCAGCCGACGATCGACACGTTCGCTCCGCCTCGAAAGCGCATTCCAACACACGACCTAATTGCTCTCCAGGAGATTCACGGGACCCCCGAGGACCTCCATTACCTTCGTAACGAGATTGAGGGTTTGCACGGCTATGGCACGCTCTTCCCCTGTGGCATTAAAGGCGGCTGCATTCTCCTGCTCCATCCTAGGCTCGCGAGGCGTTTCACCAGCGTCGCCCATCATGTACTCCGAAAGGGGTCGAGCGCATGAGCTTGTTCTGCGCGGTCCGCACGGCACGTTACAGCTTATTAATACACACGTTGGCCCGTCGCTCCCCTTCCCTGCTCGGCAACAAGTGCTACAACATATCAAGCGTCGTTCTCTTCAACCCGCTCACGCTACTTCGTATCTTCTTGGGGGTTTCAATTTTTGCTCTGAGGGGGAAGGCCTCACTCACACCAGCTCGCACACTACGTTCTCCTCCTGCTCGCTCGCCAAGCTGTTCAGCCGTCTCTTCCCGCACCACACCGAGGTCGAACAGCCGTCGTGCACGCACAGACGCACAGTCGTTAATGCAGGTTCTCGCTTGGTCAAGTCGATCGCCAGGCTCGACAGGATTTACACTACAGCCTACAGTGCGGTGCCTATCGATTTGCAGGCCCATTCCCTGACGCTTGCAGCAGTTTGTGATCTAGAATGGCCTTCAGATCATGTGCCGGTGTGCCTGTCGCTGTCGCCGTTTCGGCTCTTTTGGCCCAGTGAGGATTGCTTCCTGGGTATGCAAGCACCAGTCTGTTCCTGGCCAGATCGACGCGGTCTTGGCCACCGTTCCCCCGCTCTCTGACGAGCCCGCCCAAGCTGCACTGGAGATTAAAGATGTGATTCGTGCCGCCGCTGCCGCTGATCGTCGCGTTTCATCGACACGTCCGACTACAGCTGGACCGACATGCCAAGTTTTTACAGCAGGAGGAGGAGGAGGAGGAGGAGGGGGCGAGAGGAGAACGAGGAGGAGGAGGAGGAGGAGGAGAACGAGGAGGCGGAGGAGGAGGAGGAGGGGGGGGAGGAAGAGGAGGAGAACGAGGAGGAGGAGGAGGAGGAGGAGGAGGAGGAGGAGGAGGAGGAAGGAGGGGGCAGAGGGGGTCAGAAGAAAACCGAAAGGTACAAGCATGAGCTCTCAGAGGTCCGCGTGGATCTGTTGGGTCGGCGCTGCGGCGTCCCCGCTCCGCCTCCACAAAATGCGGGCTGCCCAGCTTTGAAAATTCGGCCGGGCGAAAATACGGCCACGTCCGTGGTCAGCTGGCCTCCCCAGGGGGGTCGGGAGAAGCTGCCGTCAGGGGCAACGAGAAGGGGGGACTGGCATATGGGGGGACGCATCGACCTGACATCGGCGATACATCGCCGATAAATCGGCGACAGGCTCCCGACAGTGAATCCGCACGATGCTGGGCAGGTTGGGGCTATCGGACCCTATCGGCGATCAATGGGCGGTTGGGGGTGGATGCATTCCCCGCCTGTGCCGATCCCCCCTTTGGTGTCCGTTCCATGGGAGCCTGCGTGGCCCCCGGCGCTGTCCAATTTGGGCCTGATTTGGACCCGATTTGGAACACATTTGGACCGGATTTGGACTGGATTCGTGGGGGCTAGGAGACGAGGAGGGGGAGGGGGAACAGGAGGGGAGAGGAGGAGCAGGAGGATGGGCCAAATGTGGCCCCCACGCTGTCCACATGCAGAAAAAGCTGATTTCAGTGTCGCCGCCCAAGGCTCCCCTGACCAGACATCATCGAACCCCCCCTATCGTTGCCCCTGCTCCCATGAGCGAACAAGACAACCTCCTCAGGCCACGGGAAAGGCACGGCCATGCCAGAAACTCGTTTGATGATCGGCCGGTCTTCCACCTTCGGGCCCCGGGGGAGTGCCCAGTCTCCCCATACCCTGGCCTCCTATCGGGGATGGACATGATCCCCATTGGCAAAAAGACCCGCGGATGAAACTGGCCCAGGACCAGTCCCCGCGGGCGCAGGCGCCCATGACGTGCGGCCGCAGCGCCACTCGAGAACCGAAGAATCAGGGCAATTTGATGATCAAGGGCTCCCAACTTCGCGCTTCGCGCTGAGCGAAGCGCGAAGTGCGAATGACTTCGCGCTCTCGCGCCGCCTCCCAGGGGAGAAGAGGAGGAAGAGGAGAAATCGCAGCCGATTCGCGAAGCGCAAAAACCTTCGCGCCCTCGAGGGCGCCCTTGATGATCGACTTGTCAGGTTTGGGGGGACCCGTCGACCTCCGACTCGAGGCGGCCAGCAGACCGCGGGGCCACCATAGATGGCCCTGGCCCGCTGTGGGAACGAAAATGCGCTATATATTGGCTCTGGGCGCCGCGGCGCGCACTGCCATGCTGGCGAAGAATTAGCCAAGCGATTTCTGGCGGCATCGACGAGGCCCGGACCGGCGACGCGCCCCGCCCCGCTCGGGCCCACCAGTGGCGATGACGGCGGCGGCGAGGGCGCCAAGGACGACGACCAGTGACGACGACGACGGCGGCGATGGCGGCGGCGGCGATGACCACGGCGACTCGGCGGCGAGCCCGAGGGGTGGAGTGAGACGGGGCACGCCGCTTCGGAAGGCGGCGGTGTCTCTCTCGGCCTTCCGAGAGGCCCCGTGCGCCTTCTTCGAAGCCACCCGCGGCTTCTCAGAGGGCGCGAGGGCTCCGAAAAACCCCGCGGCTCTCTGAGAAGGTCTGCCGCCTCCTCCTCCTCCTCATCATCATCATCATCCTCCTCCTCCTCCTCCCCTCTCTCCTCCTCTCTCTCCTACTCCCCCTCTCTCTCCTCCTCCTCCTCCTCCTCCTCCTCCTCCTCCTCCTCCTCCTCCTCCCTCCTCCTCCCTCCTCCTCCTCCTCCTCCTCCTCCTCCTCCTCCTCCTCCTCCTCCTCCTCCCTCCTCCTCCTCCTCCTCCTCCTCCTCCTCCTCCTCTCCTCCTCCTCCTCCTCCTCCTCCTCCTCCTCCTCCTCCTCCTCCTCCTCCTCCTCCTCCTCCTCCTCCTCCTCCTCCTCCTCCTCCTCCTCCTCCTCCTCCTCCTCCTCCTCCTCCCCTCCCCCCTCCTCCCCCTCCTCCTCCTCCTCCTCCTCCTCCTCCTCCTCCGGCGCGAGAACTTCCCCCCTGGGCTCTCCGCCGACATACGGTCCACCGACAACCCAAGGCGACAGCCTGGCGACAACACTGGAAGTCACTTGGGCGTCCAGGGCCTCCGCCTTCTGCAGAGGGCAGGAAACCACCCTGATCTCATAAGAAGCACCTCTACAAGGGGAGCCCGTTTGTAGACGCACCCGATACGGTGGAGTCGACGTGGGCATTGGCTGTTGAGAAAACGCCCAGCCCGTCTAGACAACGCCACTTAGCCTAACCAAATTGTCTGGTAGGGTCCTATCATTATATGTCTCTCTCAATCTATTATAATTACTATTAGTCTTGTTATCATTGTTATCATCATTACTATTGTATTATAATGCTTATTATATTATTCGTATTGTGCTTTTCTTTATCGTTTACAAAAAAACGTACACACAACTTTGTTTTCTGCGGAAACAATAGTTTTAACATACTATTCTGTTTCGCCCTGACAGCGTCCTAGACTGTCCTAGGGCCCCCAAAAGATCATCTCACGACGGCCCAGGACAGGAGGCCCGCGCCGCTCCCGAGACTGCCCAGAAGAGCGCCAGGGAGGCCCCGAGAGGGGCCCAGGAGGGGGAGCACGCATTGTCAGTTTGAGCCTTTCCCCCCAAGATGGCCCCAAGCTGGCCCCAAGAGATCCCAAATTTGAGCCTTTCCCACCAAGAGGGGGAACACGCATTGTTAGTTTGAGCCTTTCCCCTCAAGATGGCCACGAGGCCCCCGAGGAGCCCCCCAGAGGCCCCAATCACACATGCTACTCTCTGGGGTACTCTCCATGCTGCCCTTCACTTTCTAGAGCTACCATCAGGCATGGTCCCTTCTCAGCACTCTGAAAGGCTGCTTAAGGTCTTCTGCCGCCCGGGGGTGTGACATGGGGGTCGGCGTGGCCCCTTGATGCCTGCTCCCCCTGCTGTTGCTCGCTGGCGCAGACGCAACTGTGCCGAGCTCCAGGCGCTCTGGTGCGCCAGGACAAGCGGTGACCCCAGACACCCAAACGGCTACAGTGAAGGGGCCCTGGGACACACAAATAAATACACACATATAAAACACATCCCCATACTTTCCCGTATGTTTGGGGTTTTTGTCTCCCCCCCCACTTCCCATATTTTCCCATATTTTCAGGGGAATCGACGATGAATTGTGTCTGTGTGTGTGTCTTTCCCCTCCTGATGCAGCACTGATGAATGCCTGGCGTCGAGGGCCAGGCCCACGCCCTCCCACAGCCAAGCTGCTGCCAGAAGGCACGCCGAATGAGAAACGAAGTCCCCCTCTGGCCCCAAGGACGCCCTGGGTGCACGAGGAACACCAAAGGTAGAGGTCAAACAATCAACCCCATAATAACCACCCCGACACGCGAAGTCGTTCAATAAACGCGCTCAAAGAAGGAATCGAACAGGGCAAAGCTGTTTGGTAAACGCCCAAGGCCGTTTAGTAAACGCCAATTGTCCGGTCGGGGTGGTTTTTCCTCCCTTGAAAAGCCTGCCATCGCTCGGACGTCTATTCCCCGAGCATTTTTAGATTTCGTGCGTGGCTGTTTCCCCAAATCATCAAGGATGCTCCTCGATGGTCCTCGCCGAAAGCACACGTTCGAGCGATGCCAAGAAAGATGAACAGCCATCGAAAGGCCTGAGGCACATCGGCGGCGAGCGATGGGGGGGCAAGAGCCCCGCCCGAATCCGATCTGCTCCCGGTTTCCGCATCTCGGCTGTGTTCCTTCTGCCGCTGCCCGCGCACGTGCACCGACCAACGGGCCCGAGGCGGCCAGGTGCGCACGGACGGTCGTCCCAAGACACCCGCTGGCAGACCCGAAGTGCGCACGGAGCACACAGGTGCGATGCCAAACATCGAGGAAGAGAAGACAACATAGGTATATGCTCTTGGAGGTCCGCGCGGATACCTTCCAAGGCACACGCTAACGGCGATGTTGGTTAACGACGATGTGGGGACTACGGTCTCTGCGACGCCGAACTCGCGCAGGGAAACTGGTAGGACGACACGAACAACACGTTCCCATAAATGGGTTGGCCACGACCCACCCCCATCTATAATGCCGAAGCCTACGTCGTCGTTACCTACATGGCCGTTACCGAGCCTACGGACCTTGGATCGGCGCTGGGCTTAATCGTTATCAAAAAACGATGGAGGCGTGCTAGTTTCCCCGTTTCTCAACTTTTCGTGTTGCGGTCGACCAAAACAAAACAAAAACAACCAAAAGCACACCAAAAACGACACCCACCGGGGCCGAAACGAGCGGAACACAGCAACCCAAAACAGAAGCAGCACTGCAACCCAACACAAAAACCATTTAGTAGAAACGGACAACATAAACACTACGGCTATGAACAACAATTTTAAACGATCGCAAACCGAACCGAAAACTTCGAGACGGTAAAACCCAAACTGCCAGGCAACTGCCCCAAAACAAAATCGGCAACTGAACACGTCGATCTTGAAAACGGAGAAAAGACGCCCCCAGCGTTCAAGAACACCTAAAGCGCTGGGCTCCCCTTCCTTGCGCGCGGAGCTCGCCAAAGGCGGCGCCGGGGGATCCAGCGCCGATCCCCAAAAAGATCAACGCTGACCTGTGACAATTTCTCCTCCTTCGAAAACGACACATGATGCCCGACACGGGCAGCGGGCGCTGTTCGGCAGCCGACATTAGTCCCAAATCTACAGGACGCCCGCGGCGACACCGTCAGCCAACCCCGCTCAGCATGGCCAGGGACTGCTGTCGGCCTACGGGCTCGTGCTTTCCGTGTGGACCCTCCTGAACTCTAAGGGGGGGCGTTAGGACGGGAGCCAGCTCGAATCGCAAGGTTTTGAGCGCTTCGAAGCTTGAAGTTTTCAGGCGTTTTCGTCGGCTCTCGGCGACTTGCCAACCTCGGGATGCCTGCCAACGGCCGCGTCTCCCCGAGTGTTCCCGGGGTGCCCGGAGCGCCCCGAACGGCCGCTGGAGAGCCAAGATGTGACCCGAAACCGTGGGGCAACGTAAGGGTGTTGCTAGAAGTGCCCCTGGCCCAAGATACCCCAGCTTTTCGCTTCATTTCTGAGCCCCTGGGGCCCTCTGGGCCTAGTGAGGGGTGCCCTGGAGGCCGTCTGGGCCATTCCGAGAATCCTGGGGGTACCTTGGGCCAGGGGTACTTTTAGCAACACCCGAAACGTGAGGGGGGACCACCTCAGGGGGTGGGACACGAAGATGGAATCGGCGGTGCATCGCCGATACAGTCAACCCGTGCAGTAAGGATGCGCGATAAGGATGCAAGGGCCTTGGACGCCCAATTCGAAGCTCTTCGAGCGGGGCGCGGCCAACGAACGTGGCGAAGGATGGACCGAGGGGGCAAGGATGCAAGGGTACCCTTGGGAAGGCTGCCCATCCCCATTATGCGGGTTGACTGTAGCAAATTCGCACGTTCCAGGCGGCGTGGGCTATCAGGCCCCAGTGGTGATGAATGGGCGACCAAGGGTCGACGCAGCCATCCCCCCCGAGCCCGTGCCCCCCTCTCTGACGTTGCCCCATGTTGCCCCCGATGAGCCCAGACGGCTGCTCGATGACAGCACGGGCGGCCGCTCGGCGTCGAGGGCCTCCGCCCTCTTCAGTGAGGTTCCGCCCGTTCGTGCTCTCTCACGCTCACCTGGAGTCCTCCATTCTTCCTCCTCCTCCTCCGATGCCTCCTCCTCGCCCTCCTCCTCCTCCTCCTCCTCCTCCTGCTCCTGCGAAGTGTACCCCATAGAATGTAAGCGTGTGTCGGAGCTCTTCTGACTACGATAAGAAGCTAGATCAGACCCCCAGGCCGCACATAGAGCAGGCATGGAAACCTGTACCGACGCTGTTTCAATTCGAAAGGCCTCTCATTCTGTCTCTCTCACTCTCTCGTGTTTTTCTCTCTCTCTCTCTCTCTCCCTCTGTCTTTCGGAGAGAGGAGAGAGACAGAAAGAGAGAGAGAGAGCAAACAAACAAATGATGGCGAGAAAGAAAGAGAGAGAGAGAGAGAGAGAGAGAGAGAGAGAGAGAGAGAGAGAGAAAGATAAAAAACACAAGAGAGAGAGAAACGTGTGTACAAAACGCATGAGCACAAATGCCGTGGCCTCACAGGGCGTCGCAATACCGATTCACAGTTGCGCGCCAGGCTGTGGCAAAACTTACGCTACGATGCCAAAGCTGCGGCAAGGCCTCCTCGCCCCCGGCGGCCCAGACAGCGCGCGCAAAAACTGTTTCGGTCTAAGCTTTCCGGGGGCGCCCCCGCCTTCGCTTGAAGCTATGTGGTGCCAGCTTGAAAAAAGGGCGTCGGACGAGTCATCTGACAGGGTTATCAGCTGGGTTTCGGGCGATATGCCCCCAGGAGCAGCAGCTGACGATTCAGTAGAATATTGTTCAGCGTGGAAACGCTTGCTTGCTGCAAAACGCTGAAATCCGTCACGTGGATAATCTATGAATGTGGCATGCGAAGCATCTGCCTCACACGTCTCACGTGGAATGCGTCGAGCCTCTTTTTTTCCCCCTGGTTCAGGAAGGCCACATGCAGGCAATGCAGCAGTTCACTGAGAATACAAGCGCTGAAGATCTCAAGCTTC